AAATTTTGGCTCTGCAGTTGATGCTCTCATCACCTTCACACCCTTGAGATGTCCCCAGGTGTCCCCATCCTCACCCCGATCCCAAAACAGGAGGCATTGCCAAACCCCATTTTTCGGGCTCAGTCTGAGCATGGACAGTACAGATCCCAGAAGCACAGAGCTGTCAGCTCAGCAGCGATGGAGGCAGCCAGGAGCTGGTACCCAGTGCAGGGGAGCTGCTCAGCACTGCCGTATTTATAGCTCAGTGCTGCATGTTGACAGCGGGCAGCTTCGCAGAATTACCCAAATCTCCATCTGCTCATTTCGAAAAGCAGAAGTACTTTAAAAAGAGAAAAAGCAAGCAAGAAAGAAAAAGCCATGAAAGCACCTCCCCAGGCACAGCTGCCCTCTGGTGCCGCCTGCCTGGTTCTATGGAAAGAGAAAGCACAAAGTGCGTGCCCTGACACATGGGGCAGGAGAAAAACCCCCCAGTGGGGGTGGCCCTATGGCACTGCTGATGCTGGGAGGGCATGGGACAGATGTGGGACGTGGGGCTGGCACAGAGTGAAAAACACCAGCGGGGATTTCCAGTGTGGTGACACTGCCATGGTGTGAGGAGAAATCCCCAGATCCAGGGAATCGGGAGCACTTCCCACCCCCTCGAGCAGCACCACATGGGGGGATGCTCCAGCCCATGGATCTGGGCAGCACCGGGGCCCTACGGAGAGACCCTCTGAGCTCAACATTGGCCTTGGGAATGGGCAGCACTACCCCACACCCCTAAGACACTTGTGGGAGCAGGGTGAAGGTTTCCCGTCAGGATCCCAATACTTTTGCCCTGTACCTACAGCACGAGTGTGTGTTCTGGAGATGCTCCAGACAAGGGCAAGCAAACCCCTCACTCACAGAACTGAATGGGGCACAGCCCACGTGCAGGTGCCATAGGGAGAGGTTGGGGATGGGAACCATCCTATGTCCCCACGCTGGTCCTTGCAGCTCCACCAGCACTTTTTCCTTCCTGTGACTTTCCTCCTATGCTATGCACCCAGCTGGCACCCAGCTATCTCCTCAGTACCCATGGAAAGCTATTGCCAAGCTTCTCTGGAAGCATGGGTGCTGTTTACAGATGTGCCCATCCCAGTGTTGTTGTTTAGCCTGGGAAAACAGTTGAAGAAACATGGAGCAATCCCAAGCCCCCCTGTGGAGACACATGTCACCTCCGTCCCTGTCCCCACGTGCCACCCCATAGCTGCTGACTCAGCACAGCTGTAGGGCTGCACACATTGCCCCCCTGCACTACTTTATCACCTGTAATCAATTGCAGCAGCAATTCCTGCCCCAGGCAGGCAAAGACCCATCCACCACCCTCCCAAAAGCACTCCTGTATTATTATAGCCATTTTTCTAGGCACAGCATCCAGTTCCTGCACCTATCTGGACGGCAGTGCTGCTGCAGATAGATCAACACCCATCATCTTCCCACCCCCAGCAACAGAGGGTGCCAAAAATCACCCTCCTGCAATCACCCAGACCAGCAGGGCCGGCAGAGCCTCCTTGCAGCCTCAGCCCAGCCCAGCCAGAGCCCTGACCCAGATTTCCTCCCTGTCATTGTCCCTATAGCACAGCACCGTGCGGAGCCATGCTCCAGAGCTGAGTGTGCCGCCCCAGGCACAGCACAGCACCACAGCACCAGACTGGGGGCCAGCACTCACCACCCCTGGGGCACACACTGGGGCTGTGCCACCCTCTGCCCCATAGAGACGTGGGGCAGCAGCCCAGCCCACTCCCTTGAGCTTGTTTGGAGGGCACAGCTCAGCCCCTCCAAAACGCTTCATGAGGCTCCATCTTCATTTCCAGCGCTTTCATCCATAAAACACTCCAAGGGGTTTGTTTTCTTTCTGCAACCACAGCACTTTGCAGCTGGGCTGAGCTCCCAGACTCCAAAGGAGATCAAAGAGGGCTGGGCTGGCCCTGCTGCTCTCCCAGAAACCCTCGTTGTCCCCGAAACACTCGCTTCCTACCTGCCCACCATGAGCAGCTCGCGCTCACTGGCCCTTGGCCTCATCCTCCTCCAGATGTCCATGGTGAAGAGAGTACTGCTGCTGTTGAAGATGGAGGTGAGGGAGGACATGAGCGCGGCCATCATCACTGCAATCATCAGACCCCGCAGCCCTGGGGAGGAGATCGTCAGGCTGTGGCTGAGGACAGCAGGATGGGTGTCCCCCAACGTCCCAGAGGAAACACATCCTGCTCAGCACGTCCACAGGTTGGGTTTTGGGAATGCCCCCAGTGTCCTAGAGGAAACACATCCCAATCTGCGTGTCCATAGGTTGGGATTTGTAGACACCTAGCAGTCTCAGAGGACAACCCACAGCCCCCAGTCTCACTTCTGGGGGTCACTGGGGAGGGGGCTGCATGGCCCAAAGCTCCCTAAACAACCCTATGATGGCCAAGGACACCAACAGCCACAAACACAGCAGGACCCAGCTGCAAACAGCACAACCTTACCGCTGGGCATCAGCTCCACCACCAGCTTGGGGTAGGCGATGTTGGAGCAGCCCACTGCAGCCCCACACACACGGGTGCACTCCTCGGGGTCCACGCAGGCCACAGCATCTGGGGGACAGAGGCAGGGGAAGGTCCTGGAGTGAGTCTGCATCCTCCAGCATCACCCAACCTCCCCAAGTGCCATCCCTGGGTTGGATCTCACATCTCAAAGCCCTGACCACCCTAAATCCCACAACAGGCCCCCAGGGTGACCCCAGAGCCCTGCTGGGACCTGGGGGCAAATGATTTTGTACACCATTGGGGCCATCACCTCTGCACCCACTGCTCCCCACGATGCACCTGGCAGCACTTTAGGACAGTCAACGCCCAATTACTTATGCGTCTCGATGGGTGCTGAGCCCTTTTTTATTGTTAGGCTCATAAAATATTGAAATGGATGGAAATTAATGGCAAGTATAAATATTTATGTCCAGGGTGGCTCTCATCTTGGCATCCTCACCCCGAGCACCTGGGGTGCTCGGGACCGGCGTGGGCACCCCTATGCACAGCTGGAGACATAGGGAGGGCAAGAAATGATGCAGCACAAAGGATTTCCCATAGGGTATGTGCACTCCTTCTGTCCCCACTGTTCTTCTTTGGAGTGCAGACTCCACAGTCCCCACCATGCACTGGAATGTGCACCAAAAGCCCTGCAAAAGAAGAAGGACCTGGATTCCCTTGGCTTTGCAACACCTAGCACAGCACAAAGCAGGCTGGGCACAGCAGGAGTGGGGCTGGCAGCTGCCTTTCCACCTTTCCCTGGGGGTAAGAGACAGCGCCAGGGCTCTGAGTAACGCTGCCATCACAGCTCTGTGCCTCAGTTTCCCCTTCTCCAAAGCACCACGTTGAGCGTGGCTCCATGCAAATACCCACAGACCTGTAAGGCTGGAGGATGCTCCTGAGGGCACAGCAGTGTCTGGATGCTGCACCCCAACTGAACACCCCTTGGTGCACCCCAGCAGAACTCGGGCAGCAGAGCCCAGCAGAGCCCAGCGTCACACCCTGCTGCATCATTAGGCCTTCAGTTGGAGATGGGAAATTAATTAGGAACTTGTAATTAATGCTTCCCACTGTGGCCAGGAGAAGCCTGGTGCAGGCTGTAGGGCTGCGGCGGTGCTGGGGATGGTGAAGCTGGGATACGGAATGGCTCTGCCTGGCCAGGGGAATGGGGACATGGGGACAGTGGGGACTGATGTGTTCAGCCACAGTGACCCCTCCCTGCAAGTGGCAGACAGTTAAAGTCTGCGGGCTCTTTTCCTGCAGGGGGGAAAGCAAAGGAGCAAGCTGGCATGCAGGAAAAATATATCAAGTGTGCACCCAAATAACAAAATCATCTACCCCTGAGCTCAGCACAATGCTGTCAGTAAAGAGATTTAAAGAAGAGAGGAGGAAGAGCACAGCTACAGCATTGGGCCCCGATGGCAGCTGTCACAGCACGGCCCCAATGCAACACTGTTTTCCTCTTCCAGCAGTTCCACCATGCAATAAATCCTAATCACACACACCCCTCCAAAGAGGCTGCAGATCTCCTTGCCCAGTGACCACCACACGAGCACAGGGCAGATGGGGCTGAGTACATCACCGAGTGACTCAGGTTGGAAAAGACCCCCCAGATCCCCACCCCACCGTGCCCACTGCCCACAGCCCTCAGTGCCACCTCTCCACATTCTGGAGCACCTCCAGGGACGGTGGCCCCACCACTCCCTGGGCAGCAGTGCCAGTGCCTGACCGCTCTCTGGGAGAAGAAATTGTTCCTAGCATCCATCCTGAACCTCCTCCAGGAGGAGCTGAGAGAGGACAAGGAGATAAATCCCTGCAAGGACAAAAGGAGAAGCAAGATTGGTGCCCAGCACCCTGCACGCCTCGCTCCAATGCAAGGCTCTTTGCTGCTTTGCCCTGAGGATTGTGACTCAAGCAGGGCTCTCATTTACACGGCCGCAGATCCAGACCAACTGCACCCAAGCGGCTCAGCGAGACGCAGCCCGTGGCGTTTTCCTTTCTGACATCTGATCCCAATTCAAGAAATTCTTCGCCCAAAAGCTCCGCGATCGCCGCCTGGCCAACGAAAGGGGGGGGTTTAATCCACCTCCCAGTTCATACCACACTCTGCCAGTGCAGTGCCGAGTCCCAGCCGCAAACCCCGCACCCAGCAGAGCCCTCCCCGCAGTTCCGACCCTCTCCCAGCAGCGCGGGTGCTGCTACATGCGGTGCAGGAGGGCTCAAACACGGGGCACAGCCACTTCTTTCACCAAAAACAGCGCCATCCCAGCAGGCACAAAAAGTAAGAGGGGATTTCAGGGCAGAGCTGATTTTTTGGAGGAGCGCTCGGGGTCCCAGCGAGCAGCGCCGGCTGAAAGAGTTAATGGCCGAGCCGAGCTGGGAATGTGCAGGCAGCATGTGACCGCAGGTGGGGCAGGGCGGAGCGATGAATCACTCCTTTGCTTTTCCTCTTTTCACTTCTTGCTGTTACCTGTCCGACCCGGCAAAGCGTGCGGGCGGCAGCCGGGAGTCACTCGCGGAGATGCCGAAGAGTTCGGCGCAGACGTCGGGCACCGAACGCACCGCCGAGCCGCTGCCCAACCGGGACCCGGCCGATGTTTGGGCCGAGAAACTCCGCTTCGAGCGCACTTTGTGAAGCTGTTTCATTTCCTTTGTTTCTTTTCCTTTTTTTCTTTTGGTTTGCTTTCTCGCTGTGCTGAAAGAGAGGAGAATGAGCGCAGTGCGTAGCCGGAGGTAGAGGAGGCCGTGTGTGTGTGCGCACGGGGCCGAGCTCTGCCCTGCCCGCAGCAGGAACCCAGATCCTCCTCCCCGCACAGCCCGGCGTTGGCAGGAGCCGGCCGAGCAGGGAGCCGCGTCCCCGGCTGCACACTGAACCGGGGTGGGCAAAGCAAAACTGATCGCCTTTGTAAAGACTGGGGAGGAATTGATTCAGTATTTACTGCCGGAGAAGTTCCCTTGGCGGAGGGACGCGGCGTGTGCCGTCGCCATGGCTTTCTCCCAGGTGCAGTGCCTGGATGACAGCCACGTCAACTGGAGGTCCAGCGAGTCCAAGCCCGAGTTCTTCTACAGCGAGGAGCAGCGCCTGGCCCTGGAGGCCTTGGCCGCCCGCGGCCCCGATGCCTTCTACGAGGTCCTGAAGAAGGAGAACATCCGGGACTTCCTCTCCGAGCTGGAGCTCAAGAAGATCCTGGACACTCTGGAGACGTATGACCCCGGCTCCGAGTACATCCCGCGCCACGGCAGCAGCACGGCGGGGAGCGAAGGCGACCGCAACAGCCAAGGGGACGAGCAGGAGGTGGCCCCGTCCCTGGAGTACTGGCCGCAGAGGTCCGACCGCTCCATCCCGCAGCTGGACCTCGGCTGGCCCGAGACCATCGCCTACCGCGGGGTGACCCGCGCCACTGTCTACATGCAGCCGCCCATCGAGGGCCAGGCTCACATCAAGGAGGTGGTGCGGAAGATGATCTGTCAGGCTCAGAAGGTGAGGCGCCGCCGGTGGGCTGGGGGTGGCCATGGGATGTCCTAACCGGGATGGATCCCAAAGTCCTGCTCAGCCGGGTGGTCCCTGTCCTCTGCTCAGGCCAAGGCATCGGTGTCGGGTATTTGGGTTTTTCCATATTCTTTCAGAATAACCAATATTCAGTCATCGTTTTTTGCTGAAGACGATGCTGTTGGCCTGGTCTAACGCCCTCTGGGAGCAACATGGCCCTTTCCGTGGCTGTGTCGCTCATCTCAGAGTCTCCACAGGGAAGAAAAATTGGTCCCGACTGCCCCATGGTCACAGAGCACAGTGCAACTGCGTGCAGCAGCATGCTGGAACTAGAGGAGCCAAACTCTGCCCTGGGACAAAGCGGCAAAGCCTCAGGTCTTGCACTGGTGTAGGAATCAAGTCCAGCTGCAGAGTGGCACATTGCTCTGTGTCAGCCCTATCCTGGCTGTAGGAGAAAAGCATTAGGAGAAGCGCTGCAGGCTTGGGTTGAGGCTTGTCCTCCTCATGGCAGCAAACCAGGACAGAGATTTGGGGCAGATGAACAATAGGGTCAGGCTGATGTCATGGGCAGGAGGACAATGGGAGGAGGACATGGTGGCAAGCCTTAAAGACCACCAGCAATGGTGGACAGAAGCCACTGGAACTCCCAGTGACCCAGCCATGGCAGGGAAGCAGAGTGGAGCTGGTGCCCATTAGTTTCGTGATGATGGTGGTTGAACCCTAAAGAAATTCAGTTCAGAGAGAGCAGCACCCAACACCGGGGGTGTTCCAGCAGGAAAACGGGCAGACCCCAGGAGACAGGCTGAGATGCTTTAGGTGGCATGGATCCCAGCAAGCCCAGCACTGGGCACTCACAAAAGTCAAGGTGCTCTGTCCTTACCAGCATTATTTTCCTGCCACAGGGCATTGTGGTGAGCCATGTCCTTATGGCACGATAGGGCAGGGCTAGAGCCTGAGCCTCACACGTGGGACGGAGGATGAGGAGACCTCTCCCATCACAAACAATGTCTCATCTTTGGCTCTTTCCAGTTGCCTCTGCCCCAGCTCTGCAGCTCCTGCCCGGCTCTGCTTGCTCATTGCTTCCCCTGCGCCGGCAGCACCTTGTGAGTCACCCATCCCTGAGTCAGGGCCGGCACCATCCCCACCTCCCCTGGCTGCATCTTCATGCTGCAGGGATGCAATTCCCTGTGAGTGGGGCCGGGGAGGAAGAAGGGGGGGAGTTTGCAGGGTGGGGAAGCAAAGAAGGAGCTAATTGGGGTTCAGCAGATGTGCTCCTCCAGCCCTTCAGTGGAACCCCATTTAGAACCCCACAGATGAACCCACAATCACGCTGCTGAGCCCAGGTGGCTGCCCCAGAGGATGATCAGAGATGTTGTCACACACCGACGCACGGGCTGTGAACACAGCAGGGAGAGCAAAGGCCATCCAGCTGAGCAGGGCCCCTTGGATGGTGAGGTTGAGCCCACGGATGTGCACAAACAAAGCCAAGCGCTGCCGCGTTCAGGGCTTTACTCTGCCAAGAGGCAAATCCGGGCGAGCTGAAGCAGGGCTGCACACGATCTGCTCCTCACTGTGGGAAGGAAGGGGGGAGCAGACAGGCGGGATCCCAACAGCAGGGCCGCGCTCTACTGGCACATCCCCAGTTCTGTGGCCAAGGATGCAGCACAGCGCTGGGCATCCCGGCACACCACGTCCCCATGGCCATTGCCCCTAATGCTGTCCTCTGGGCTGCTCAGCTCACGGCACTGTTGGGGAGGAAAGGCAGCCTCCTCTCTTCTTCCTCACTGCATCTCAGCTCTCTCTGACCTGAAATGGGGCTGAATGCACCTCAGCACAGAGCCACCGGAGACACCACGAGCCTGACCTCTCTGCGCTGAGGTTCCCAGTTGGGATCGCGGTGCTTTAATTGCCCTCTGCAACTTCCAGCAAAGGTTGGGAGGCCCTATTAATTACTGTTTACAAAACCTTCTGCTGTTCCTGGATGAAAGGTTCGACGAGAGAGAGCAATTATTGGTGTTCCTTGTCCCATCTCTCCCTCTTCCCAACACGCTTCCTCTAATTGTGCGTTGGTGCCTGCCTAATTTATTGAGTGCCCACATGGTGCGCCCCAAAAGTTATTATCTGATGATTCAGAGTGACTTAAGAAAGAGCTGCAATTTCCTCTATAAAGCACGATCCTGCAGTCTGGGCACTCATCAAAGCGGCTCAGAAGGATCCAACATCGCCTGCCCTGTGATGCAGGAGATGCAGTGCTCAGTGTTGGCACCTCCGCTGTGTCCCACAGATCTCAGCAACTCTAGAAGCCCAGGAAGAAAAGTAAAGAGAAGGATCACCCAATGGGCACGGGGAGCATCCAGCATTAGATCCAAGTCCCATATCTTCTCCTGCCTCTGGATGAATGGCAAAGGGATAGGCGAGCTTCCCATCGTGACGCAGCAGCAAAGGGCTTTGGTGACATCATTGTCCCCTGCCTGTATCTCAGCCATGCACCATTCTGTCTGCAGTGCCTCATCCACAGTGGGAAAATTCCCCAAACAGTGGCCAGCCCCTGCTAAGCACACTGCCAAGTGCTGTCCCACACTGCAGCAAAGGGCCTTTTCACCTTTCCTTCCCCTTCAAAGCACTTTTCCCATTAGAACCCCCCGTGCGGAGTCGTCGCTCTGCCCACAGCGCCGGTTTTGCCAGAAAGTCCTGCAATTACCATTTGCTGGTGGCTGCCATCAGCCCCGATTTGCAAGCATGCCACAGATAGAATGAGGCACGCAGGGACGTGACCAGAGCCACAGAGAGCACCGATGTCTGTGATGGAGCTCATCTGCCACCAAACCCATCCCAAGCCCCCAGTGCAGCATCACCTGCTTTTCAGTTTCCTCACTGATATGGAGAGGACTTTTCTTTTCATGGTGAAGCACGTCAGGAGGCGCCTGGGGAGGATAGATGTGAAAGCAGGAAGGTGTCCGCAGGATGAAGGCTGGCAGAACTGCGAGGTCCCCTCTTGGTTCCACAGCACCAAAATGCCCGAGTGCAGTGGGTGGCACGGGATGGAGAGGGGACACACAGCTTTGCTCCTTGTGCAGCTGCCTGCTGAAGAGGAAGGGAAGAGCCAGCAGAGTCCTAATGTATGATTCCCTTCATAATTAAAGCTCTCCACCTCCTGTGGCACTAATTAAAAGGCAGTGCGGTGCTCAGAGTGGCCCAGGCTAGACGTGTCCAGCTGTGCAAGCACCCAGCATTCTCTGGTTCCTTCTGTCCCGTGTCACCCTGCAGTGTGCCCTGAGATGGGGGCTCTGGAGTCCCCCAGCATGGCATGATGATACACCAGCGCCTCAATGCAGCTCTAATGGCTGTGCCCACCTTGTGCAGGAGGAGGAGGCAGATGTGGCTGCAGGGCCATTGCTCCATCCTTTGCTGCCCTGCAGTGCCACGGCCAATACTACCTTCTGGAAAACAAAACCTGTGGGTGTGGGGTGACCTTTGGTGCCGCTCCCAGTGCCAGATGGTGCATCTTTCCATCATGTGCAGGATATACCTCAGCCACAGTGGCAAACGTCCCAGGTACAAAGGCAGCTCTGTGACAGCGACAAAGCCATTGTCACTGCACAGGGACGCAAGTGCTGCCATCCCAGCTCTATTCTGCATTTGCACAGCACAGGTGTTGTATATCGTGCCAGGTGCTGTTATTGGTGAGGTGTGGACTCATCTCTCTCCTCCTCTCTGCAGGTCATCGCTGTGGTCATGGATATGTTCACTGATGTTGACATCTTCAAAGACCTCCTGGATGCGGGCTTCAAGAGGAAAGTGGGTGTCTACATCATTTTGGATGAGACCAACGTGAAGCATTTCCTCCAAATGTGCGAGCGAGCGCAGATGCACACCGGGCACCTGAAGGTAAGGACAGTCCTCAATCTTAGCAGCAAAGCTGGGCTCTGCTGCTCCGTTTGAGTGGGATGTGGCCACGGGACATGAGACAAATGGCTCCCCTGCCTCCAGCCATAGCCTGCTTGGCCAAAAGGCAGTGGGGAAACTGGCCTCGTTCCTTCTGAAAGTGCTGTGAGAGCTCCTGAAGGGCCAGGAGCAATTCTTTGCCCATGCTACAGTCCCAGAGCAGTGTTAGAGGAGTTAGGTCCATCTGTCCTGTAGCTGATGCCCACATCTAGGATGGAGAAGAGCAGGTGGAAGATAAGAACATGGATCTCCACATGGCAGAGCAGAATGGAGGGAGGCTCTGAGCCATCCCTGTCCTACTGCCACTGCTGTGGTGCTCTGTGCAGGCAGGGGATATTGCAAAGCACACCAGTGAATCACTGAATCATTAAGGTTGGAAAATCCCTCTCAGATCCCCAAGCTCAACCCCAACCCATCACACCATGCCCATAACCATATCCCTCAGTGCCACACCTCCAAGGATGGTGACCCCACCACCTCCCTGGCAGCAGTGCAGCTTCTGACCACTCTTTTGGAGGAGAAATTGTTCCTAATATCCAACCTGAACCTCTCCATGAAGGAGCTGGAGAGGAGAGAAATCCCTGCATGGTGCATGAGTCCATTTGGGTGTAGGAAAACAGAACGATATAAGCAATGCCTTGCAGTCCAGGGCTCTGCCCCTTGGCCTTAAGTGCCCAAATCTGCACTCTAGAAGCAGGACAGGGCTGATAGAGCACATTGCAGCTGGAGGCACGCGACTCAGCTTTGTGCAGATTCCCCCTGTACAGACTGTGCCTTGGTGAGATAAGCAGAGCAAGCAGAGAGCACTTTGCACACAATGCAGGAGGTTGGGGTTACTATTTAACCCAGCCCTGAAGGTAACACTGCTTGTTACCCATTTTACCTCACAGCAAACCAGAGCGTGGCCCCACACTCTGTGCATGAGAGCACAACCCAACACCACACTCCAAGAGGGGCGAGGGACAGGAAGGGGCAGAGGAGCACGTCCCCCAGTGCTGGGACAGGGTGGCAGTGGGACACTGGTCAATACCTGTGTTCTCAACACTGCAGCACCCCACAGTTTCACTTTTGGGCCGCAGACTCCACTCCCAGTCTCCACGCCTGCAGCCCAGTACATGGGCGATGCTCTCCGCCTGACGTCACCTGGCTGTGCTGCGCCAAGCAGCTTCGCCTGGACATGCTCCCTTCAAATTTGCTTACGGTGAGGGCAGAGAGCGAGCTGAGCAGGAACACGTTCCAGCCACGTCACAGCACTGCCAACAAGAGGGAGGTTGGTGCACAGCCGTGATGCTGTGCCAGCTCTGGGGACCTGCGCCCTACAGGAGGGACACTGCAGTGGCACTCACAGTGCACCCAGCCAGCCAGGTCTTACACCTTCCCCATCCAATGAGTCCAAAAGCTCTGTGTAATTGCTGCTCAGGACAATTAAACCAGCTGAGCTTCCCTATGCTGTTACTTGCAGCCTGGAGAGGGCTCTGCTCCCAGACCAGAAAAGCCAGCGCTGACGCACGCCACGCTCTCAGGCATTGGCTGCCTGCTGGCAGGACTGGAAAAGCAGGAGAGCATCTGCAGAGCTCGGCAAAAGTCTGGAAGTGGTGATTTGCCACATATTGCTTGTCACAAGCAATTTGCCGGGATGGTATTCAGCAAGGCAGGAGGCAGTGAGGAAACTAGGGCAGTGGCTGGGAGCTGCTGTGTAAGCCAGGAGATGCTAACGAAACGAACGTCGTTATCTCGGTGCCTTCTGTGCTGTGCAATTAGTGAGGTGGCTTGGGCAAGGCTGTCCTGCGTTGAGCAAGGGTGAGTGCTTGGGGTGTGATTCAGCCCCGCTCAGAGCTGCTCTATGGCTCGGCAGCCAGGCACACGCTCATTCCACGCTCATTTTGGAAGAGATAAAATAAACAGATCTTACCCAACTGCGGCAAGGGGAAGGCCAAGGCAGCCGGCAGCCTGCTGCCAGGAGCTTTGTTTCCCTGGGTGTTACCCAAGAAAAATGCAGGCTGTTTCTTGCCTTTGTGTACAGATTGGGCTGAGAGTGAGAGGGCAGCACCGTGAGGATGCTAGGCATGGGGACATCACTCTGGTGTGACCCTCCGTACCCATCCCCACACCAACCATAGACTCCATTGAACCATTCAGGTTGGAAAAGACCTCCAAAATCCCCAAGCACGACCCCACCGCATCCCACCATGCCCTCTGATCACATCCCTCATCACCACGTCTCCACAGTTCTGGGACACCTCCAGGGACGGTGACCCCACCACTCCCTGGGCAGCAGTGCCAGTGCCTGGCCGCTCTTTGGGAGAAGAAATTGTTCCTAGCATCCCACCTGAGCCTCTCCCAACTCAATTTAAAACCATCACCTTTGGTCCTATCACTGTTACCTGGGAGAAGAAGCTGGTCCCCAACTTAATACAATCTCCTTTCAGACTGAACAATGCGAGTTCTGTCCTATGCTCGCAGTGGTTCAAAGACTGCCTGCAGCCAGGCACCAGAGTCTCAGCAGTAGGCAAAAATGCCAAAGCTCCAAAAAAAAAAAAAAAAATCAAATGCACAAAAAATACCCAAACTTCTCCAGACAGCACATAAAACTTGCCAAAATAAATAAAGAAATGAAGGGCATGACCTAACAATGACACGGTGCTTTTAGCAAGAGCATTACCACCATCCCAGCAGAACAGGAGGAATGAGAGTGCTCTCATACATACAAAAGTACTTTATCTCCATCCAAGGGTGTCCTCTCTATTAGACCTGGACCCATGTCCTCACAGCTCCTTTCCCAATGGTGCCCCACTGCTCCTCCTCATCCACTCTTAATACCAAGGTGAGATGCTTAGATTTAGAAGCAGAGCAGACCCAAGGGAAGACCACTGACATTGGACCTGCATGCACTGCGCCGAGGTCAGCACTGTTCCCTAGAAAAACACCAGTACATCTCCCAGGGGGTGGGAGGAGAAGAATCGCCACCTGCATGGTGCCCTTCACACAGATCATAGGAGATGGAAGGTGTTTGGCAGCATGATCACGCAGTGTTTACCCATGGCTGTGGGCAGAGTGAGTTCAAGAGGTAGAAAACACTGTTGGAGACCATGGGGAAAGCAGGAAATTCTTGGCGCCAGGTCTCTGGTTCACTGCGCAGCCCTGGGCAAGTTATTTTATCTCCTCATCGCTGAGGTCTCCTGCAAGCAGACTGCGAGGAGTGCTGCCCACTGCTTGGTGGGGTTGGGAAACAACCACAGGGCTCTGAACGTCAGCTCTTCATGGCTCGGCGTGGGGCTGGAGTGAGCTCCAAGTGGGGCAGAGGCACAGTGGGGAGGTGGCAGTGTGAGGACATCGGTCCTGGTCTCAGCATTGCCTACTCACAGCTCCTCGCCTTTGCTTTGCAGAACCTCCGTGTCCGCAGCACAGGGGGCACAGAGTTCTTCACGCGCTCAGCAACCAAGTTCAAAGGGGCTTTGGCCCAGAAGTTCATGTTTGTGGATGGAGATCGGGCCATGTGTGGATCCTACAGGTAACAGCCGTGTCCCCTCTCACCTGCCCCATAGAGCTGATGTCAAAGAACCCACGTGGTCCCTGTCCCAGCCTTGCTCCCCAACTCCTAACTTAAAGGACCACATCACAAGGGAAGCCTAAGTTTATCCTAAGGCCACCCCATGGCCAGGATTGGGGCAGTGGTGGGACACAACGATGTCAATGCACAACACCGTGCACTGGGAACAGCAGGAGTTCTGAGGCCCAGCCAGCCCCAGCTGTACGCTGACCTCAGATTTTCCTGTTAAACGTTTACAACCCCAAGTTGTAAACCCCAATTGTTTCCCAATTTGTCCAAATGAAAGTTGGTTTTGGTTGAAAGAGTTGGTGTTTTCAGCTCTAAAAGACACGTTTCATAAACATGAAAAATAGAACATTTCCTATATTCTGGCCACAACAAAAAACCAACTTGTAAACAAGTCCCTGTCCTTAACTAACCTAAACTGAGAAAGGAGAAGCAGCCAACACTAAAATGAAAAACTAGCTTGCCCACACTAAAAAAAATTGTGTTTTAATTCAAATTCCTGACTTCAAGCCTTCATTCCCATTTGGGGTTAGAGCTTCTTATTAATCCCATCATTGGTAATTTTTATAGCAAGATCGTGTCCTCACTAGCACTGTTAACCCCCCCGGGAAAAGCCAGGGTTGGCAAGAGGTGCGTTGTGTACCAGCAAGCGCTCAGCTTCCAACACCTTTCCATTCCAGCTTCACCTGGTCTGCAGCAAGGACGGATCGGAATGTCATCACAGTGCTCTCAGGTCAAGTGGTGGAAGCGTTTGACAAGCAATTCCAGGAGCTGTACCTCATGTCCAAGGGGGTGAGCCTCAAATCCATCTCCATGGGCGTGGAGCCCGAACCCGAGCCTGTAACACTGCCCTCCGTTGTGCCGGTGACCCCTGCCAACGCCATGGTGAAGAAGCTGATCAACCCCAAATACGCCCTGGTGAAGGCTAAGAGTGCAGACCAGATCAGCAAGACTTCATCCGAGAACCAGGACAAAACACAGAAGGGGGAAAACAAAGGCAAAGGGCTGCACGAGGGCGCAGTGGGAGACAGGCACGGCGAGGCGGCAGACCTCTCCCTGCTCATCCACCCCGGCCTCCTGAACCTGGAGAAAGCCAACATGTTTGACTACCTGCCCACCTGGGTTGAGCCCGACCCGGAGCCTGGGAGCGAAGTCTTGGGCTACATCAATATCATTGACCCCAAGATAAAGAACGTGAAGCTCTCACAAATGAACCGCATCAAAGTCTGCGACGTCTCCCAGGCCAGCGCCCAGCACCGGCAGATGCTGAAGAACAGGGAGCTGGAAGCCAAGAAGATCTCAAATCAAGAGCCACCTCTGCTGTCCCCCTGCCAGAGGCAGACCCCGCAGGTCCTCACAGAAGCTCCTGTGGCACTGGCCACCAGCCCCATTGAAGGCAGTGGCTGGGTGACAAAGCCAGTGGGAACATCAGCCGCTCAACCGCTGAGCCACCACTTGAAGCCACCTGAGGAGACACCTGAGGAAGCCAAGCCCCCAGTTCCAAAGCCAAGGACTGTCCCTGTTGGCGGCCTTGCAGCCAAAGCCACCACACCGTGTGACAGCCACAGTGCCCCAGGGGGTGACATGCAGCCACCGCTGGCTGACCATGTGGATGCAAGACAGGAACCAAAGGAGAACCCCAGCAGAGCTTCACCGGACAGCTGCCACCTCCCAGTGGTGGGGCCACAGGAGGACAAGGGGCCTCCTTGTGCCCACAATGGGCTGGGAGAGGAGGAGGAGGAGGAGGAGGAAGAGGAGTATATCACTCTCAGTGACCAGGAGAGCTGCTCCAGCAGCTCTGCTGACCACAGCTACCGCCGCTCCAACGCCTCCTCCATTTCGGATGAGTACTTTGAGGTGAGGGAACGCTACGGGCCGCTGCGGCGAACCAACTCGGATGTCACTCACAATGGGGAGTTCGTGCCCATCCAGAGGAAGCTCAGTGACCCCCACATCAGTCGAGGAACTTTCCTCAGCCCCCTGGGGAGCCTCCCATCCCTCAAGCACGTCCGCGTGGAGGACATGGCCAAGAGGAGGAGCAACGCTGTGGAGATCAGGTGTGTGCTGCCCCACACCATCTTGGACGGCAACGGCTCCTACCCCACCAGTGCCACACAGGTAGGCGATCGTGAGCTTCACCACATTACATATCCTAGTCTAGCCTCAGTTCGTTGGGTCACAGAATCATAAGATCATTAAAATTTAAAAAAACACTAAGATCATCAAATCCAGCTGTCAATCCACCCCCACCATGCCCACCAAAGCACGTGTCTAAATAGAATCACCGAACCATTAAGGTTAGAAAAGACCTCTCAGATCATCAGACCCAACCCACCTCACCATGCCCACTAACCACGTCCCTGAGTGTCACATATCCACGGTTCCAGAACACCTCTAGGGACGGTGAGTCCACCGCTTCCCTGGTCAGTGCATTTTTCTTATATCCAATCTAAATCTCCCCAATTATCACCACAGCAGTTGCAGGAGGTGCTGGTGCTCAGGGGGATGGTGGCCATGCCATAGCTAGCCAGGAGCGCACAGGGAAGGGCTGGATAAAAGGAAGGCTTTCTAGAATTAAAGAGCAATACGTGGCACGGGGCTGTGCCCAGAGCTCTATCCCATCACCCAACAGCAGTGGCACCGCTCTGTGCGACAGACACTATGCATGCAGGCGTGTCCCTCCCTGCCTTGTTTTCTAGCTCCTTACGCTTTGATTAGCATCAAAGCAAAGCACACGGACACATAATGAGGTGGAGCAGCACAGCAGGGCTGGCAGCTGCCGCAGGCAAGCAATGCCGTCAGCAGCACCCACAGAGCCAGGGTTCCATGAAGCAGGCAGGAGGTCACTGCTGTTCATGTCACTGATGCCCCAGCTGAGCTGCCGGGTCCATCTAATCTGTGCTTACAGGGAATTGAGGGCATTAGTCCAGAGTCCGCCCGCCGCTCCCTGCCCAGGGCTTTGCTCCAGCATTCGAGCCCTCACTGCGCTGCTCAAAGCGCTCAGGCACCTTCATGTTCCTGCAATAACTTGTCCAGGCCTTTTTGTGAGAGATAATTGAGGTGCTGCCAGAACCAGGAAAGCCAATGCTCAGCTGATGGAAACGTGCAGGGAATCGTTTCTCTTATGCGTAATAACAATAAACAGAGCCATCCCTGGTTAGCTCTGCAGAAACCTCTCATCTGTGGTTGGAGAGCAGTAACAGCATGATGAGGATGGCCCACCCATGGGCCCCAGCGAGGCCTTTTCTTGGGAATTCTGCAGTTTTCCACAGCTGCCTATTGCTGTTTGTCCTTCCATTTTGAACAGTGTAGGTATTTCCCACCATCAACGCCACCACACGTTTTTATTTTGGGTCCCTTCGCTCTCGCACCCAATCTCAGGGTTTTCTGCTCGGTGCCCGGCCAAACGCCTGCCCTTACCTGGGAACAGAGCCCTGCTGATCATGCCTGGCATGATGATGATAAACAGGGGCAGCATCTTCAGGTAGCTGGCCAGGATGGAGCCGGCCTTGGCATGGCTCAGGCTCCTTGCAGAGAGTGACCGCTGCACAATGACCTGCAGAGAGCCAGGGACATGGCTGAGTCACCAAGATGTCCCCCCCGGTGTCAGCCTCCCCTCTGCTGACTGCATCCCCGGCATCCCAAATGCTGGTGCTGTTGGGTGTAGGACCTCACCCCAAAGCCACGTACACATATGTCCACAGTGCAGGTTGGGTTTCTCTCCAGTACACTGAGTGGTTTGGGTTATGCCCTTGCAGCAGGCAGCAGGACCCCTGGGGGCCCACAACCACTCTGAGCCCCATCCCATAGGGACCTGCACTTCCACACACCGGGTGACCCACAAGCCTAAATCAGGGGGAGAGTTTTTGTTCAGAGGGTGAGCAGCACAGCAGCACAGTGAAAACATTTGGGCACAGGATTGCACCAAGCAGCTGATGGAGTTATCCATGAGGACTATGAGTATGTAGCATCCTTGTGACAATCACAGATCATATTTTGCTCTTTTTCTGCTCTTTAACAAACAGGGCACACACATCTACCGCTACCGGCCCAGGAACCTCACAGGCAGGGAGCAAGGCAAGGAGCCCTCCTGCTCCCCACCGTGCGAGAAACCCCCCGGGGCCAGCAAGCACCGAAGGGACAGCACCGAGCCCAAAAAGACCATTGCAGGCAGCCAGCCCTACTGGCAGGGCAAAGCCTTCAGCCCCAGTAAGCCGAGGGCAGCAAGCAAAGCCCTGAGCTCCCTGCCCGAGAGCCAGAAGGCAGCCGAGGAGATGAGGACACCGCTCGGCATCCCGCTCTCCAAACTGTCCCAGTCCAAGCACCTTAAGAACAAAGTCATGGCAGCTCCAGGTGCTACCGACTCCAAGAAGAAGCCCCCTGAGCCCACCAGCCAGAAGGAGCAGTAGGGGTGGATGCAGGCGGGTGGACTGCAGGTGATGCTCTGCCATGCGGAGCAGGGGAATCTTGTTTACATTTACCTGGTCGGTGCACCAGTACCACGTGGCCATGATGGACAGCCCAAACGTCATCCCTGTCCAGGGCAGATCTCCAGAGATTGGGTCTCGGAAGAGGTGCATGGCATCCGCTCTGGGCAGGTGGCAGGTCGTGTTGGGAATGATCTTGGACGGCACGGCTTTTAGATAGGCCTCTTCCAGGTTGGAGTAACCTCCGATCGCATTAAAAGCTGGAAGGCACCGTTGGGGGAGGCTGGTTGGAGGCTGTCTGGTTGCCTCCAGGATCAGTCAGAAAAACACTTGAGAACTCGTTACTGAGAGCTGCTGCCCCCTCGTTGGCCCCCTTCCCACAGAGGGAGGCTCACGCGCGTGATTATATTTTATTTTAGTTATTTAAGAGACTCTTCTATCACCATTTTGCACAGCATGTCCCATTGCAGCCCGCCCTCCCTCGGGAGGGTGACCCACGTCTGGGACAAAAGGGACCAACGCCTCTTTTGACTTCGTACTGTAAAAGCAAGCTGTTATTAAAGCTCCCTGCTCCTAGAGTATGGGAAACACACCTAGAACCATTAAAATTGAAGATTAGGTACCTTTGACTTGACTCACTGTAGCCCAAGGCGCCTCGGTGCAGGTATCCACCCAACACAGAAGCGTTTTCTATCCCTGTGAGCGTTCTCCTTGCACAGCCCCATCCTTAATGAGCCTCCAGCCAAAATTCCCAACAAAACGCCCCTCTTCACTGTGCTTTTCCCAGGAATTGGGATCCTCCTCCCAAGCCCTGCTGTGGGTGACGTGCCATGAGCAAGCCCCAGCATGCGCAGCTCCAAGCCCTGCACAGCTGCCTTGGATCCCATCCTGCCCAGACAGCCCCGGGCTCTGCCTCAGCCCCAACACCTCCCTGTTCCAGAGGGGCTCAGGATGAACCCTCCTTGCAGCTGCTCCATGCCAATGGCAGAATTTGGGAGTCATGGGGAATCAGCGGCACCATTTTCAGGTGAGCTTTTGGGACCCCAGTTGGGCTTAAGGAGGAGGATCATTCAGCTAGCCATGGTGAGGAAGGGGTTTAACGAGGACTGGAGAAGGTCTTGACACCAAGCAGGGGCTGCTCCTACAGAACAAGGTTTTCCCTCCTGCTCAGATGCAGTTTCGGATGCAGGGAGGAGGAACACATTGCAAAACAGCAAAACAGATCAGGCTCAAAGTGAGACCCAGAGCGTCCCTGGGTGCAACCCTCTACTCCACGCATCCTTCCCAGTCACGGGCAGCGTCCGCCTCCTGCTAATACCCATTCCCCATACACCCTTCCAGGATGGTACCCTCCCTGCAAAGTGGCCACTTTCAGCACCAACCCATAAGCCCTGGTCCTGTCCTCCTGCCCTGAGGCTTTTGGAGCCCTGCCACCCCATTACCCCCTTTTTCAAAGCACTCCCCAGTATTGCACAGGAAACGCGCATTCACAACCCCCTCCTGCTCTTATGAAAGCAGTGCTGGCTCCTCTCCAGCGCGTGGTTTATCCAGGCACCGGCGACTCCCAAGCTTTGCATGGGCGTTGGGCACCAACAAAAGCTCTCCAGAGGCAGAGGTTGAGTGCTGAAAGCAGAGATTCGCGCCCGGGGGTGCGGACCTGCTCCCTTTCCAAAGGTGTCAACCGACAAGTCGCAACACCTACACCTGCTCACACAGAAGAGTGACGCAAGGAAGGCAGCACAGCAAGGAATCGGCCTGCAGATGTAGGGCTGCAGTGGGAGCAGTGCCCCTCCAATGGGCAAGAGCAAGATGTCCCAGCCCTGGGAGCAAAGTCCCACTGATGAGTGCAGCGTCCCTGTGCTCAGTACCAAGGGGACACAGCAAGGGCAGTGCTGGTGCTGAGCCGCTGCCAAACAGCCTCAGCAGTCCTCTGGACTTTAGCATATGTAATCTCTCCATGCATACTCATCTTCTGCCAGGTGCAACCAATAGCATCCACACACCCCTTCTGCCCCCCATGGGGAGACTGTTCACAGCCTGGCAGATGAGCAATGCCTGCGTTGCTGTGTCTGCCACAGTCTAAAGATACAAAAAGGGCAAAACCACAGAGAGGATCCTTTATGAGCTGAGCCCGATGGATCTGCTGGAAGTGGCAGCCCTTGGAGGATGTGAGCCTGCAGGTTCTCCCAAGACCAAGCAGCAGCTGCACGGCCAGCAGGCTCCTTTTGATCCCCTGGATCAGCCATTCTCCCAGCACCACCACCTCCCTGCACACATCTTGCTGAGCAGGTTAGCACGTCTGGAGACAGCTTAGCCATGTTGCTGCCACCAGGCATTTTCCAGGCATGCCTTGCTGCCCTCCTATTGCCACCCAAGAGCACAAGGGAAAGCCTCAGAGGACCTGTGGGCAATTAGCACTTCAGAGAGAAATGCAATTAGCGATACCCAAGCACCTGGTCTGACGTGTGGGCTGCGGTGTGGAGCAGTTGGGGCAGCTCCTCTGCCTGGCACAGGTCCTCACTTCTGCTGGGGTATCTACTGTTAATTATACCTCTCTCAGTAGGGGAGGGCTTCCTCTCTTTCCTCCCTTCTGTAAAGTGAAGCCTCAACTGCCTGTCCTTTCACTTGTTTGCATCACGCATCTTGCTGCAGACCTGCCCTGCTGTTGTCCCACTGCAGGACGCCTGGATGGGCTCTTTCATATCAGGATCTGGGCATCCCGCTTCCCAACCACCAACCTTTGGCCCTGGGACCTAAGCTGTACCCAGCTGAGAAGTGATGCCCAAGCTTCAGCCAAACACTGGAACGAGCTCTTGGACAGAGGGGACCTGAGGACAGCCAAGAGGTCACCAGCACTGGAGAAAGCCCACAAAAAGAACCAGCCATACTCACAAGGAATGGCACACAGGGGAAACGCATCAGCAAGGGGACGCAGGTAGACCACAGACTTCCCTTAGGTGACTGCTGCTGTTTGGCCACCGAACTTCTCAGGCTGAGTTTATTTATCTGGGACTGTCCAAGCGGGGCAAGAGGGGCACAGCGGTCCTCCCAGCTCCTACCTCTCACTGCCAGCACGATGGCTCCGAGGACCATGATGAGTGTCTGCAGAGCATCGGTGTAGATGACGGCTGCCAGCCCCCCTGTGAAAAGCAAAGCACTGTGAGCACCCACGGGTCATGCAGCCCCAGAGGACTCCCCACGCACACAAAGAAATAGCGGGCCTAGAGAAAATGGGTTTCAACCCGTTTCAACCCAAGTCCCTGATTCATCCCCAGCCAGCACCCGCCCGGCCATGCCTGCGATCTGCCCAGGACTGGGGTGACGCAGCAAGCACACCTCTGCTGGCACGCACTGGAATGCCTCGCTGCACAGTGAGCCTTGTGGGCAGGGAAAAGCCAATGTGGGATTTGCTCAAAACCGGAGTCTTGCAAAATCCACCACGTTTTGGATATAATTACGTCATTTCCTTATTTTGATGGCTGGGAAAAGATAGCGGGGGAGGATTTACTGCTGGACATCTCCACTGGAGCTACCAGGGAAGGGAATGTCCGAGCTTAAATAAAAGCTGGAATAATGTCCTGGAAAGGATCATTGGTTCTGCAGTGCAAGAGTGGGACTGCAAGCTGGGGGCTCCCCATTTCCATCTCTGATTCATCATATCCCCAAATCACAAAGGAAAGGCACCAACTGGTGTTGCACAGAAACGGTCCCAACGTGGGAACACGCTCAGGATGTGATCCCTGCAGCTGGGCAGGAGAATGGCAGCGAGTTGCACTGCAGGCAGAGCAGGTGGGAAACGGGTTAGGCAAAGGGCTCTCAGATTTTAGCTGCCTCAGTAATGGTTCTGTAATAGGAGAAGCGCTGATTAGAGCTGATTACAAATAGGTGCACACACAAGAAAGCATTTAGCTATGAGACAGAGGAGGAGGGAGTGATTACAAAAGCAGAGTTGTAATGACAAAGGAGGGCTCACACCCGAGTTACTGCTCGAGCTGAGGCTCAAAAGGATGCACAGCGAATGCTGGGTGGCACAGGGAACAGCAGCCCCATGAGCTGTGTCTGGAGCAATATCAGCCCTAACCAGCACACAAAGAGGGGTAAAATAGGAGTGCAAGTGGCGTGGTTCAATTGAAGAAGCCAAACTGGCGAGCATCTTACCTGCAATGGTGTAGAGCCCTGTCACCAGCAGCATCAGGACAGTGGAGAGGTAGAGGTCCCAGCCCAGGCAGACTTGCACAAACAGAGCTCCTGAGTACAGGTCAGTCTGCATGGAGACAAGGAGTGTGGCTGTAGGGTGCCACAGCCTTTGGGAACAACACATGTTGTGAGCGGTGCTCTGTCCCTCACAGGATTAGGCCTAACCTGGCAATGCCCTGCTCCCCAGCTGGCATCTCACCATGCTTCCTGCAGAGTCCTGGAGATGGGCACCTGGTGCCACCTGGGGGCCACATCCCTCCCGGCATCCAGCACCTTTGGGTGCTCCTACCTGGTGCAGCCATGCCTGTGCCAGGTGAGCCCACACAGTTAGGCCTAATACCAACTAAATCACAAATCAACCAACCAGAAGAGCATTTGCACCACAAGCTTGAGGACCCCCAGTTCAGGGCCTGTTCCATGATGTTTGCACCAGGCTTTCCACCACTGTCCCTTCTAGCACCCCAAGGGAGATGCTACATGTCCTAGGTGGCTCCCAGGCCTGGCCATGTCTCCAGGAGAGCCCTCAAGAGCACTGAGAGAAAATCCACCCCAGTAAGTTCTGCTGAAGTGGAACCAACCCAGTGGCAACCATGCCAAAACTTCCATCAGCAGCTCTTCTTTCAGAGATGCCTGCCACCCCAAATGGGAACCTGCTACAGCCTGATATCACAGATATGCCCAAGCAGCCCTACAGGAGGACAACTAAGTCATCCCCACGCTGCAAGCTTCAGCTACAAGGCAGAAAAGACCCAACCAAGGGCCTCCAGCCATCTCCTCCCAGTGCAACAGTCACAGAACCATGGAATGGTTGGGTCGAAAAAGTCCTTAAAGATCATAGAACCACTGCATGGTCAGTTGGAAAAGACCTCACAGCCTGCCCAGCCCCAACCCCTGCCGTGGGCTGGCTGCCTTCCACCACATCAGGCTACAGAGGGCACCACCCACAGCCTTGGGCATTTCCAGGGATGAACAAGAAGCAGAGCCCCAGAGCTCAGATGTGAAGGCTCAGCCCTGGAGAAGACATTTCATAACCTGGGCTTTCTCAATGCCAAAGCATTTTTGCAGTCGTCTGCAAATGAGTCTAAGCTTTTGCTATGAGGAAGCAGAGGGATCCCCACCTCCCTTCCTCATAATGTTGCTACGGTGGGAAAAAATAAAAGCACATGTGACTGAGTTGTTAATAAGACATCCCAAATACAAAAACAAGCTAATTAAAACCAGGCATGACCTATTCATAAAACAAGTCCTTTCAACTGTAAAAGGAGAGCAGAAACCTTTGAAGTCAGGCTCCTAATCCGATGAGATCCCTGCCTCTGCCAGTGACCTCACATGGAAACCCGTTCTTACCCAACACCACCAATGCCTTTCCAAGGGGAGCTGCTGGCCAAGCCTGAGCCTGGGCAGAATGAGTTACATGGGACATGGAGGAGTC